AATTATCTGTACAAAAGCTATGATGATCTAGAATATTATAGACCAGCACTCCAAGGTTTTGGAATATCAAAGATTGCTTACCATACAAAGAGGAAATAATGGATCTCAGAATCTTTCTTGTGGGTCTGTGTACAGAAAAAAAAAAAAATTGAGCCTTTGAGTTTGCTTTTCCTAACAAAGCTGTCTATAGAAATAGTTTAAAATCTTAAACGAGAAATTAACACTACACTGTATTTCCTCCTCAATAAATGTCTACTGAATTGAATGATGACTATAACTCTTCCATTGATAATATATTCCTACATTAAGATTTGCTCTCAAGCAGTGGTCCTTATTTTAAAATGCAATTGCTCCTGAGAGCCTGTCTCTAAATTTTCTGGTATCTTTATCAGAGACTTGGTTACAGAGAAATTCAGCCTCGGTGGCTATGGGAGGTGTCTGATTAAGGACAGGGTAGGACCAGAGGATAAGCTAAAATTCTCGCCTTTGGTACCTCACCGCATTGCCTGAGGCTAGCACTACCATCATTGTAGCTAAGAGCTGGAAACCTAGGGATCACTTAAAATTCCTTCAAGTTTTTTTAAGTTATGAAGCCATCTCCCCCTGCCCACCCACCCCCACCAGGATTGGCCCTTAGTTGAACAAGGCTTCTGTCTCTCCTCCAGAGCATCTGCTACATCAGATGTTATCAGCGACAGGGGCTCTGAGGGTGGCCCAGAAACATTCCATCTGTGTGCAGTGATCCCTTCAAGCTCTCCTTTATGCTCTGGAGCACGCTCCTTTGAGGGGTGGTGTCCCTCTGCATGTGGCAGCCTTTCTTGAAGGCTGACCTCAAACTGCTTAAGGAAAGGCAGCACAAGTGCCCATCAGCTGATGAAGGGATAAATAAAATTCAGTTTCAACCATACAATGGAATATTATTCTGCAATAAAATGAAATGAAATATTGATACATGCTATATTATGGGTGACTCTTTTGAAGTAGAAGAAGCCAGTTAATTAAAAATAAATCCACATATTATATGATTCCATTTATACAAAATATCCAGAATAGACAAATCTATAGAGAGAAAAAGTAAATTAGTGATTGCCTGGGTTGGGAGAGTTTGGTGGGCAATGGGAAATGACTGCTAACAGGTATGGGTTTTCTCTTTGGCATGATGAAACGTTCTAAAATGGATTGTGGTAATGTTCGTGCAACCTTGTAAATATGCTAAAAAACTGAGTTATGAATTTTATGATATGTGAATTATACCTCAATAAAGCTGTCCAAAACGGGGAGGGGGCAGCACAAAGCAACAGAAGCATTTTAGTGAAATTATATATGAGAATCATGAGATTGTCAGGCACCCGTCACAACTGGAAAAGACTTTGGAAAGTTGCTCTCCAACAGAGGGGTATGTAGGGCCATACGTATGAACAGCTGCTTACCTCAAGGTATCTATAAATTGATTCCATCCTCAAATTCCTGTGATGCTTTTTTCTCTCCTGAACATGTCTAATTTATTAATCCTGTTCTTTTTCCCAGCTTTTATGGGATGAAGTTCACAATAATTCCCAGACTAAAAATATGTGAAGTCAGGCACATATTTTATATTTTTTGGAAAGGATTATAAATTAAAATGTAAAATATGGCTGTTGCTTTGCACATTCTTGCTGCAAGCAATGACAGAGAGCTGGTACTTGTTATTTACAATGGGACAGAAGAATGTAATGTTTAAAAGTAGGACGTGATTCCATCAAAGTCTCCGTGTGACAGAGCTGCCACCTCCTTTTTCATCCCCATGGCCATGGCCCCATTCAGGACTGCATTATTTCTCGCCTGGACCATTGAAGCAGACTCACTAATTTCCTGCCTCCAGTCTCTCCCTCCTTAGTAACTCATCCTCCATCACACTGCTGGAACTACCTTTCTAAAACGCAAATATGAGGCAGGCTAGCCCAGGGTACACACCTTGGGTCTCAGTTTCAAACTGCTTGGATTTGAATCTGGGCCTCACCAGCTTTCCACTCAGTCCTCTTAGGCAAGTTACTTAATCTTTCTGTGAATCATTTTATTTCCCCCCCTATGTTTAGTGAGCATTAGATGAGAGCAGTATTTTAATTGCTAAATCCAATGACAGGCTCATGGCAATCAGTCACTGTAAGCTTTTATTATTATTACACTTATATGCAAAGACTGCTATGTTTCTCCATTTCTCCATAATGAAATCTAATCATTATGAATTAAATTTAATCATCGATTATTCAGGAGCCTGTGAAATCTAACCCCAGTCTCTCTTCTCCCAGTTCACAACCTTCTCTACATACATCAGTTGTGTGGCTCCATGTTTTTCTCAAGTTCCTTCCTCTGCCATTTGAGTATCTCCAGTTAGAAAAGCCCATTCTTCGTTCAAGATGACGATATGGCCAGGAAGTGACTGGGAAGCTTTTCCCAAACTGTCCTTTCCTCTGTGTTGTGACAGCACCATAGGGGTTTGAGAGAAGTTGACCAAAGTGAGACATATTTTATAGGTAAAACAAACCAGACTTCTTAGTGGACCGGATAAGGGAAATAAGGGATAAAAAAAAAAAAAAAAGGATGATTTCTAAGCTTAGATCTGGAATAACTGGGCATGTGCTGGTGCCGTTTATTGATATGGGAAAACTTGGGGAGGATAAGGTTTTTTGAGGAGCTAGTAAAAAAGACCTCTGTATCAGTTAGGTTAGGTTTGAGATACCAATTGGATGTCCAAGTGGATTTGGTAAGGAAGCAGTTGAATACATGAGTCTGGGGTTTGGGGAATGGTCAGGGCTATGGATATAGCACTGAGAGTCATAACCCTATAGGTGGGGCCACTAGAGATAACCTGGACGAAGCGCTGGGGACCAGCAACATCTAGAGAGCAACTAGAGGAAGAGAATCCTGTTAACTGTATACATGTGAGTTTACTCACCCAGAACCTGCTTGGAGTTAAGTACTGTCTTACTTATCTTTGTGCCTAGTGGTGTTTGTCATACAAATTTTCAATAAATGCTTGTTGAATTCATTTCAATTCTAAAAGCAAAGAATGGTAACCACTTAGAATTGTCCCAGCCATACACTTTAATGATTTCGCAACATTCGCAAAACAAGCATGAAGGACAGCTCCAGCATCTAGCCGAGGGTGGAATATGGTGGACAGGTCCGTGATGGCTGGAGACAGGTGGATCCAACTTCCTAACCTTATCCTATCCCCTTTCCCTAGGGACACTCTCCAAAGGGCATGGCCCCAGTGCTCATGGGTAGATGGCAGAAAGTCCAGGATCCCAGCATGGTCCTCAAGGCTGAATACCAGGGGTCTTGGTAGAGCAGCAGCTGCTAGAACATATGGGTCATCAGCAGGAATTCCCCTTAGTTCTGGACTGAAGCACCTAGATGTACACAATACTCAATTTTCTGAAATTCTTCTTTATCTAGTCATGGTTTTTTTGCGTTGACTCTTAATAGTTTAGTATTCATATTTTCCTTACCTCCTTGTTCCTATGACACATTTAAGAATTTGGAAATCAAGATACATCTCTCTTTTTTCTCTCCTCTTTCTACTGTTCTGACTAGGCCTTCATCACCCTTCACCTTGGCAAGTTTAATAGCCTTCTATCTGGTCTCCCTGCCTTCATTCTCTCCCCACTCTGCCACCAGAATAACCACGCCAAAGTACTGCTATATCAGGGCATCTACCTGCCAAGAGCTCCTACAGCTTCCTTGTTACTTACTGAAAAATAAATAAATAAATAAAAGATTCCATAATTCTAAGGATGGCATACCAGGTCTCCCAGAATCTATCATTTCCAGGCAACCTTTCCAGCATTAATGCCCACCAACCATATCCTGGGTTGTTACTAATCAGGCCCCCGTTTCCCCCAAAATAGTTACTGTGCTTTCTCTTTGCTGTATCTTGGCACCTGCTGTTTCCTTCACCCAAGGTTCACCTGTTTCTCCACCTGTTAGAATCCTACCCGCTCCTCAAGTTCCAGGCAATGCCACTGTCTTCAGGGAGCCCTCCTTACTCCTTACTTCTCTCTTGAGAAGGAAAGTTTCTTGTCTATATTTTTGAAACAACTAGTGTTTATTTTTTTAAGGCAGTTATCAGATAGATGATGGTGATGATGATGAAGATAGATAGATAGACAGATAGATAGGTAGGTAGATAGGGATAAAGGTTTGTTGTTTTTGCCTTGGAAAGCTAACAATTTCAATTTCAACATACTGTACTTAGCACAACATATACAAGCCTATTGACTAAATAAGTGAGTGACCCAATTAACTCAGCATAATTAATCCCCACTTCTCCCAGTTTATCCACTGTATAATTCTAGATCTTTATATATCAGATTTTCTTAAAGTTGGGTCTCTCTGTAGGGCGACCATAGGTCATCATATAGGTGACTTCCTTTCACAAATACTAATTAAGTGCCTGGTATGTCCCAGGTCTTGTGATGGACCCTGAGAAGCAAGTTGTAAATACAAACAACACATTCCTACTCTTACAAAGCTTACAGATTATGGAGGTGACCGCACTTGAATAACAAGGGCGTGTATTAACCTGGGGGTAAGGTGGGAGGCTTCGAGGAGGAACTGATATGCCAGCTGAGACCTGATGGAGTCATAAAGGTTAGTCAGACTAACCTGTCTGTGTGGCAGCGTGTGAGGATGAGGATACGGGGAGGACCATGTGAGCAGGCTGGGCAGAGGATGGAGAAAAATGAAAAGTTCTTATGCGAAGAGAGGAAGAATCAGAAAAAGACATTCCTTATGGCCAGGGTATAAGTGGGTGATGTGGAGGAGGTGAGGCTAGGAGAATGGGCAGGTTCAGGCATAAAGAGCACTCTGAGATGTGAAAGGTATACTCATAGATGTATTCATAGGTCTTTGAAGGGTTTTAAGCAGGGCGTTGACATGACCAAACAAGCCCTTTAGAAAGCCGGCCCTAAATTGATGCACCAAGTGGACAGGAGCCCTCGGGAGGAGGCTCGTGCAGGCGGCTCAGGCTGAGTGCCTGACGGGCACGTGGCCCAGGTCTTGGTCACAGCGGTAACTGCTGTCTCTGCGTCTCCCAGGGCTTCTAGGACAGCGGCTGAAGAGACCTTCCCGAGGGGCAGCACACAGTAGCTGCTGAGCCATCGCACCCGGGAGAAGCAGCAGTAACATGGCAGCCCCTGCTTGAGAGGAATTAAACACCAACAGACTCCATTCAGAGAGGAACAATGTCCAAGAAAGGGCGAAATAAGGGCGAGAAGCCCGAGGCGCTCATTGTCGCCCTTCAAGCTGCCAACGAAGACCTCAGGACCAAGCTCACAGACATCCAGATAGAGCTGCATCAGGAGAAGTCCAAGGTGAGTGGGGCTCCCCGAGGCTGCAGCCTGGGAGGCTCTGGCCCGGCTCTGCCCGCTGGCCTGCCTCAGTGGGCCTCTGTCTGCTGGTTGCCAGAGAGGGCAACAACCCCTGGACAGAGGGAGATTCCCTGTGTGTGGCAGGAGGGAGTTGAGCACAGGATACACAGAACATGAGAAAAACCTGCCCGTGGGGCTGAGCTCTGCCTCCCCAGGGGGCCAGATGTAAAAATGGAGACCACACCTGCCCCCACCAACACCTCTGGACACTTCATAGGCATACGGCCTTGGGTAGGTTCCACCCTTGCCCTCTGTAGTCATTTCCCCTGTGGCATTTCTCAGATGTGTCCCTGGTGTCACTCCACTGCTCAAAACCCTGCAAGGGCTTCCTGCCTCTCAGTCACAGGACTTTCCCCACCGCTGCAGGACTCTCCCTCCAGCTGTCTCCCAGACCCATCTCCCACTGCTGTCCCCCAGATCACTCTGCTTCAGCCTCTTTGCTGGACCAGGAGACATATGCCCATCACATTTGGGCCTTTGCCCTTGTTCTTCCCCAGTCAGCGGCATGCTCCTTCCTCACCAACTTCAGGTGTCAGCCCTAATACAAGCATCTGACCACAGTGTCCAAAACAGAGCACTTCCTGGGCCCACATACTCCCTAAGGCCTCAGAGCAATTTTTATGTTTATGCATTCACTTGTTCAGTGCTTCTGTCTCCCCAGTCAAGTGTAATCTCTATGACAACAGAGTCTCATCTTACGTCTCTATTCCTAGAGCCTAAATAAATGTCCAGAACTGAAAAGCTCAACATATATTTGTTAAATGAGTAGATGAATGACATGACCAAGAGGTGATTTCTTCGCTATACCTTAGCTTCTTCATCAGTCACACACTGTTATCCTGTAGAGCTGGGATGAGGTTTAAGTTAGACAAGTACAAAAAGGAGTCATGAGGAGTACATGAGAAAATTCATGTCAGATGCTCAGAGAGCTGCCTGGCACATAGCAAACTCTGAAAAAAAAATGCATGGTAATATCCCTTCTAAAATGCTGTATGCTTGAGTCAGTTGCTAACTAGACTTAAGAAAGTCTCTTTACTTCTCTGAATCTCATCCCTTAAATGAATATGCTAACACTTATCTTACTAGAGTGGTATGGATATCAAACAGGGTCACGGACAGGAAAGCATTTTGAAATATGTGACAGGCATAAGACATTTTTGCAAACTGGAGACAGCCATGTCAGCGTAAAGTTGCCTTAAAGAGATAGCGCTTTGTGTAGTAAGGAAATGTTCTTGATCAAGCTATAGATCACAAACCAACAGATATCCTTATTCCTTTTAATCTACCTCTTCTTCCTTGACGTTGCTATTACATTTTAATTAGTTATTTTCACCCAAATCTATTTCTCCTGGTTTGAGCAATAATAAAGCTTGGATTCGCCAAAGCTCCTGGCCTCCTGTCTCAGCTAAGCCTTGACCTTGGATAACCAGACACCAATGTAAAGTTTGTGAAGGATATTATAGTTTCCACGAAGCTAAAAGGACTGTGATGTCCCAAAATGAAAACAAACAAACAAACAAACAAAACCCAAAAACTTTTGTGTAAGAGTCAGAAAACCAGAATATTGTCTTTATCTCTCCTTGGGGACAAATTTCAGTGTTTCAGTATTTCGATCTGTAATTCAGTGACTGAATCTGTTTCTCCATATCTGTGTCCCTCAAGCATCACTGGGCATTAGAATAACCTGAGGGAACTTATTAAAAATTGAGATCCCTGGGCCCACAACCCAAGGATTGTGATAAAGTAGGTGGGTTAAGGTTCAGGACCGCAATTCCAGCAAACAGTCCAGACAGTCCCCACGGAGGTGGCTCTCTGCCTTCATGTTGACAAACACTCCACTCCACGATTCCTTCCAGGTTGACAACCTATAAACATTTCATTGGTTTTAACTTTCCCTGGGGCAACATAACATTTCAAGGGAGGCAGACTCCTTTTTTTTTTTTGCGGTACGTGGGCCTCTCACTGTTGTGGCCTCTCCCGTTGCGGAGCACAGGCTCCGGATGCACAGGCTAAGCGGCCATGGCTCACGGGCCTAGCTGCTCCGCGGCATGTGGGATCCTCCCGGACCGGGGCACGAACCCGTGTCCCCTGCATCGGCAGGCGGACTCTCAACCACTGTGCCACCAGGGAAGCCCGGCAGAGTCCTTTAATTGTAGTAACAACAGAATGACAAACTACCTTCACGGGAAGAAACCTATCCGTCTAAAGACCGGCAACCATAACCTGCCGCTGATTTACAGAGAGCAAACTCATGAGATTTTAAAGAGGCAGAGGCCCGACAGACCCCACCCTGCCATTTTCCACACATTCAAGCCTTTTTTTTTTTTTTCATTCAAGCCTTTTAAAAGGAGTAACTCTTGACCTTGGACAGAGCTGTTTATCCTGCCTGTTTATCCAGGGCCTGGCCCTGGTGTCTAAGCCAGCAGGTCAGGGGTAATCTCCCTTTCCTCTGACAAGAGACGAGAAGCCAGACCCTGGAATAAAAGCACTGCCCTATTGTCCCCTCTGCTGCCCCCTCCCCAGTCTCCCTCTCCGCGGCAGTTAATTACAATCCCAGCACAGGGGCCACAGCAAAGCCTCACTGCCTGTCAGCAGCATTCCCCAAAGAGCAAAGGGAATTTAGAGGGCAAACAAGTCATAAAGCAGTTTTATTAAAATAAATACGATTGTGTTTCCAAAGGCCCAAGCTTTAAGAGAGAGAATATGAACAATGCCAACATGTGAATTCACACTCTTAGTTTGGCTCCAAGGCTATGATGATAAAATGACAGTTTAGCCACTGGGGAATGGACTAGTTAAAGAGCAGAAACCTTTGGAGCAATGGGGCATTACTCATTTTTCCAGAAAGACAAATCATCCCACTGACATTTGCAGAACACATTGTAGTAGAGCAGAGTCACAAATGCTAGACTTTTTTGAATGTTTACTCTCTGTCACACACCGTAAGAACTGCATTTCCTCCTGACATAACCCCAGCTCTTCCCCTTAGCGCCTGAGTGACCCTGAGCAGGTTATGAAATCCCTCTGCATCTTCCTTCCCTCATCTGTCATATAGGATAATAGTCATGTTTACTTCCTAAGTATGTGTGTGTTATTTTTTGAGGAGTTAGTGTCAAACATGTTGTGTTATAATTCAGTCATCTCACTTCATCCTCACTACCATTCTCTGAGGTGGGCATTGTTGTGATCCACATTTTACAGATAAGGAAACCGAGGCTTGGTGAGGTAAAGCAATTCACCCAGAGTCACATGCTAGTCGGTGACAGAGCTGAGTCTTCAACTCCCCTTCTCTCTCCTCCCAAGCCAATGCTCCTTTTTAAAAATATGTTTTTTCCCCAGTTTTATTGAGATATAATTGACATATCACATTGTATTTGTTTTAGGTATACAACATAATGATTTGATATATGTATAAATTGTGAAATGATTACACAATAAACCTAGTCAGTATCGGTCACCTCACATAGTTACAAAGTTTTGTTTTCTTGTGATCAGAACCTCTAAGATATACTCTCCTTGCAACCTTCAAATATTATTAACAGGATTGTTAACTATCATCGCCATGCTGTACATTACATCCTCAGAACTTACTTATTGTATAACTGGAAGTTTGTACTTTTTGACCCCCCTCGCCCATTTCTCCCATCTCCTACATCCTGCCTCTGGCCACAACCGCCAGTCCGTTCCCTGTATCTATGAGCTCTAATTAATTTTTTTTTTTAGATTCCACACAGTATCTGTCTTTCTCTGTCTGACTTATTTCACTTGGCATAATGTTGCAAATGACAGAATTTCCTTCCTTTTTAATGGCTGAATAATATTGTGTGTGTGTGTGTGTGTGTGTGTGTGTGTGTGTGTGTGTGATATCACATTTTCTTTATCCATTTTACATCAGTGGACTCTTAGGTTGTTTCCATGTCTTGCAAAGCCTATGCTTAAAATATGTGAAGGTCTGGAGAATACTGAAAAGTTTAGGCAGAGGAAGAGAGGATGTAAGAACTTTTCTTTACACTATTGTGCAAAATTTCAAATGGAGAAACAAAGTGGGAGAGGGAGGGGAAACATACGCCTATCCTTCTCCCACAGATGCCTGCATTTCCACTGCAGGGAAATGAAACAAAATTACTAGATACAGTCAACTTCTGGTGAGTAGAAATTATCTAAAAGATTGGCCAATCGCTGATAGGAATAACCATGCAGATAGGTAGGTCATTTTGACTGGACTCCAGGCATAAGGACCAAGAGGATATAACTGTGAAGAGCCTGTAGTGGATAGGAAAGAAGACAAGGCGGGGTCTTTTTCTTTAGTTAATTAATTTATTTATTATTTTCTTATTTTTTTGGCTGCGTTGGGTCTTCATTGCTTTACACAGGCTTTCTCTAGTTGTGGCGAGCGGGGTCTACTCTTTGTTGCGGTGCACAGGGTTCTCATTGCAGTGGCTTCTCTTGTTGGGGAGCATGGGCTCTAGGCACATGGGCTTCAGTAGTTGTGGCTCGTGGGCTCTAGAACGCAGGCTCAGTAGTTGTGGCGCACGGGCTTAGTTGCTCCGCGGCATGTGGGATCTTCCCAGACCAGGGCTCAAACCCGTGTCCCCTGCATTGGCAGGCGGATTCTTAACCACCTGCGCCACCAGGGAAGCCCAGGGTAAGGTCTTTATGCTGGATGATCTTGTCATTTCTGGGCCTGCACTTGTGCATCTATAAAACAAGCAGATTGTAGACAACATAAAAGAGCTAAGGTCCTTGCAAAACGGTCGGGATTAGTTAGGAAAGGAAACTGCTTTAGCTCTTCGGGACCCTTCCCTGACCACCGAGTTAGATGACACTGTTCCCCTAGTTCCATGTACTCTATCACATCTCCCTGTAATACTTCAATCACAGGGCTCTGTACTGTCTGAAGTTATGTTATTCGTTTATTTGCTTGTTTATTGCCTGCTGCCCCC